GCCGTTGCCATTGTCTCACATAAGCCATCATACGGCTCAGACTGGTGCAGTACGCGTGTCGCAAATCAGACTGGGGCGGTCACTTGAATCTTCTCACCGAGTCGGAACTCTCCAAAGGTGTCCTAAGAAAGTGACGGTCATCATTCTTGCCACCTGCACCCAGCCAAGCCCAAAGCCCAAAGCAAGCCAAGTTCAACAACCATTATGCTGTGTTCACCAGGAACTCATTGCAAGCTTGTCGCAAGCTTATCAACATGTCTTACAAAGTCTTTGAGCCAACTCCACTGCCCCAGCATAGGCCGCAAAAGTAAACCTGCACAAAAGGGAACTACCACTTCACCCCAGACCACTCACGCTACCACAACAACACCTTGGCCTGACAACTAGCCACATCTACTTGCTGGCTGCTGGCACAGTGTGGCAAAACAACTCACGCAGTCGCATCCAAGGGTCGCAGATCAGACTGGGGCGGTCACTTGATTCTTCTCACCGAGTTGGAACTCTCCAAAGGTGTCCTAAGAAAGTGACGGTCATCATTCTTGCCGCCTGCACCCAGACAAGCCCAAAGCCCAAAGCAAGCCAAGTTCAACAACCATCACCCTAAGTTCACCAGGAGCTCATTGCAAGCTTGTCGCAAGCTTATCAACATGTCGTACAAAGTCTTTGAGCCAACTCCACTGCCCCAGCATAGGCCGCAAAAGTGAACCTGCACAAAAGGGAACTACCACTTCACCCCAGACCACTCACGCTACCACACCAACACCTTGGCCTGGCAACTAGCCTCATATACTTGCTGGCTGCTGGCACAGTGCGGCCAAACAGCTCACGTCACGTGCAAGGGTCGCAAATCAGACTGGGGCGGTCACTTGAATCTTCTCACCGAGTTGGAACTCTCCAAAGGTGTCCTAAGAAAGTGACGGTCATCATTCTTGCCGCCTGCACCCAGCCAAGCCCAAAGCCCAAAGCAAGCCAAGTTCAACAACCATCATCCTAAGTTCACCAGGAGCTCATTGCAAGCTTGTCGCAAGCTTATCAATGGAACTCTCCAAAGGTGTCCTAAGAAAGTGACGGTCATCATTCTTGCCGCCTGCAGCCAGCCAAGCCCAAAGCCCAAAGCAAGCCAAGTTCAACAACCATCATCCTGTGTTCACCAGGAGCTCATTTCAAGCTGATCGAAAGCTTATCAACATGTCTTACAAAGTCCTTGAGCCAATTCCACCGCCCCAGAATGGGCCGGAAAAGCAAACCTGCACAAAAGGGAACTACCACTTCACCCCAGACCACTCACGCTACCACAACAACACCTTGGCCTGACAACTAGCCACATGTACTTGCTGGCTGCTGGCACAGTGTGGCAAAGCAACTCACGCAGTGGCATGCACGGGTCGCAGATCAGACTGGGGCGGTCACTTGAATCTTCTCACCGAGTTGGAACTCTCCAAAGGTGTCCTAAGAAAGTGACGGTCATCATTCTTGCCACCTGCACCCAGCCAAGCCGAAAGCCTAAGGCAAGCCAAGCTCAGCACCGCTCTTCGAAAGTTTGTCGGAAGCATATCAAAAGCTCATCAACAAAGCCCTCTGGGATCAGTTTGCCGCACGTCCTGCAGCAAGACAATGTCCAGCCCGGAAATTTCGGAAATGTGGGTTGATGTGGAAAAACCAGCGTGTTCAAGCAGCTGGCGCAGCAGGAAAGATTGAACCATTGTTCGCTTTGGTTCTGGATAGATTAATTACAAGACCACGCATCAACTCAGCTGCAATTGGCAAGCTTTCTGAGTGCGTGAGTCATCCTGGGAAAAATATCAGAAAATCCTCCAGTGTTGCATCGCCGTTCCCATTGTCTCACATAAACCATCATACGGCTCAGACTGGTGCAGTACGCGTGTCGCAAATCAGACTGGGGCGGTCACTTGAATCTTCTCACCGAGTTGGAACTCTCCAAAGGTGTCCTAAGAAAGTGACGGTCATCATTCTTGCCGCCTGCACCCAGCCAAGCCATAAGCCCAAAGCAAGCCAAGTTCAACAACCATCATCCTCAGTTCACCAGGAGCTCATTGCAAGCTTGTCGCAAGCTTATCAATGGAACTCAACAAAAGTGTCCTAAGAAAGTGACGGTCATCATTCTTGCCGCCTGCACCCAGCCAAGCCCAAAGCCCAAAGCAAGCCAAGTTCAACAACCATCATCCTGTGTTCACCAGGAGCTCATTTCAAGCTGATCGAAAGCTTATCAACATGTCACCCAAAGTCTTTGAGCCAACTCCACTGCCCCAGCATGGGCCGGAAAAGCAAACCTGCGCAACAGGGAACTACCACTTCACCCCAGACCACTCATGCTACCACAACAACACCTTGGCCTGACAACTAGCCACATCTACTTGCTGGCTGCTGGCACAGTGTGGCAAAACAACTCACGCAGTGGCATGCACAGGTGGCAGATCAGACTGGGGCGGTCACTTGAATCTTCTCACCGAGTTGGAACTCTCCAAAGGTGTCCTAAGAAAGTGACGGTCATCATTCTTGCCACCTGCACCCAGCCAAGCCGAAAGCCTAAGGCAAGCCAAGCTCAGCACCGCTCTTCGAAAGTTTGTCGGAAGCATATCAAAAGCTCATCAACAAAGCCCTCTGGGATCAGTTTGCCGCACGTCCTGCAGCAAGACAATGTCCAGCCCGGAAATTTCGGAAATGAGGGTTGATGTGGAAAAACCGGCGTGTTCAAGCAGCTGGCGCAGCAGGAAAGATTGAACCATTGTTCGCTTTGGTTCTGGATAGATCAATTACAAGACCACGCATCAACTCAGCTGCATTTGGCAAGCTTCTGAGTGCGTGAGTCATCCTGGGAAAAATATCAGAAACTCCTCCAGTGTTGCATCGCCGTTGCCATTGTCTCACATAAGCCATCATACGGCTCAGACTGGTGCAGTACGCGTGTCGCAAATCAGACTGGGGCGGTCACTTGAATCTTCTCACCGAGTTGGAACTCTCCAAAGGTGTCCTAAGAAAGTGACGGTCATCATTCTTGCCACCTGCACCCAGCCAAGCCGAAAGCCTAAGGCAAGCCAAGCTCAGCACCGCTCTTCGAAAGTTTGTCGGATGCATATCAAAAGCTCATCAACAAAGCCCTCTGGGATCAGTTTGCCGCACGTCCTGCAGCAAGACAATGTCCAGCCCGGAAATTTCGGAAATGTGGGTTGATGTGGAAAAACCAGCGTGTTCAAGCAGCTGGCGCAGCAGGAAAGATTGAACCATTGTTCGCTTTGGTTCTGGATAGATCAATTACAAGACCACGCATCAACTCAGCTGCATTTGGCAAGCTTTCTGAGTGCGTGAGTCATCCTGGGAAAAATATCAGAAAATCCTCCAGTGTTGCATCGCCGTTGCCATTGTCTCACATAAGCCATCATACGGCTCAGACTGGTGCAGTACGCGTGTCGCAAATCAGACTGGGGCGGTCACTTGAATCTTCTCACCGAGTTGGAACTCTCCAAAGGTGTCCTAAGAAAGTGACGGTCATCATTCTTGCCACCTGCACCCAGCCAAGCCGAAAGCCTAAGGCAAGCCAAGCTCAGCACCGCTCTTCGAAAGTTTGTCGGAAGCATATCAAAAGCTCATCAACAAAGCCCTCTGGGATCAGTTTGCCGAACGTCCTGCAGCAAGACAATGTCCAGCCCGGAAATTTCGGAAATGTGGGTTGATGTGGAAAAACCGGCGTGTTCAAGCAGCTGGCGCAGCAGGAAAGATTGAACCATTGTTCGCTTTGGTTCTGGATAGATTAATTACAAGACCACGCATCAACTCAGCTTCAATTGGCAAGCTTTCTGAGTGCGTGAGTCATCCTGGGAAAAATATCAGAAATCCTCCAGTGTTGCATCGCCGTTGCCATTGTCTCACATAAGCCATCATACGGCTCAGACTGGTGCAGTACGCGTGTCGCAAATCAGACTGGGGCGGTCACTTGAATCTTCTCACCGAGTTGGAACTCTCCAAAGGTGTCCTAAGAAAGTGACGGTCATCATTCTTGCCACCTGCACCCAGCCAAGCCGAAAGCCTAAGGCAAGCCAAGCTCAGCACCGCTCTTCGAAAGTTTGTCGGAAGCATATCAAGCTCTCACCAGCGCCCTCTGAAGTCAGTTTGCCGCACGTCCTGCAGCAAGATGGCAAAAAGTCTTCGCACCCAAAGTCCGCTTTAATCAAAGGCGCGTCAACACATCGCCAAGACTGCTGAACTGCCAGACTGCCAGACTGCGAGCCAGCCGGACTTCCAGAATGCCAGTCTAACCATCCTTGTGAAAGCAATACATGCCTTCTTACCAGTCTGCGGCTTCAGCAATATTTGGGAGCCCCCCCCACCAAATCCTCAAAAAGCTTAAACGACCCCTTTGCTCAAGAATGGATCTCGGGTTGGTTTGTTGTTTTCCGAGAAACTATGCGGCAGTATCAGTGGTTTACTGTGGTTGTTGATTTGTTGGTTGGTTCCGAGAAACTGCAGGGTATCAAGAAAAACCAACCCACTGAACTGGTTCAGTTTGAAGCTAGTTCAATCTCAGCTGGTTGTTCCAAGAAACTGTAGGGTACCTGGCTCCGTCCTAAAATGGATCTCGGGTTGACTTTTCTGTGCATTTGCTTTCTGTTTGATTCCCGAGAAACTATGGGGGAGTATCTAAGCTGGTGTCCATCAGTAGGTGGCTGTTTTTGTTTGATTTGTTAGTTGGCTTCCGAGAAAATGCTGGGTATTCAGTGTGTTGTTTGTTTGATGTTGTGGTTGTTGTTCTTATGTGTATATATATATACAATTAATAATAACAATAATAATAATAATGATGATGATAATAGTAATAATAGTAGTAATAGTAGTAATAATAATACTGATAATAATAATAAAAAGGAAGAAGAAGAAAGAAGAAAAACAAAAGGAGAAAAACAAAGAAGAAACAACACGCTGAACTGGCGATCACTTTGAAGTGGCGAAGGCCGCCCGCCGCTTCCGGCGCCGCGGCGCCGGGCCTTTGGACTCCAAGGCCAGCAGCCTCTGCCAGAAGTCTTCCAGGCGCCTCGCTGGAGCGCGGGGGTGGGGTTTTCCGCTGGGGGGGGGGGGGGGTTTGGGGGGGGGGAAGTAAATTTTGGAGAGAATCCGCAGATTTGAGTCCTTGAACAAACCCATGTTGGGGTTACACCATTTTTCACAGCTCCATATAGAACCTTCGCAAATCCGCGGCTGTGTGTATATCGAGGGAAAGGAGGAACAGTTCCACATCGGCTCCTCTTCAGAAGGAAGAAACCCAGGCTGTCCTTCTTGCGCAGAGACCAGTCAGGTTCCACTTGACACCCTCAAGGTTGACCCAACGAGTTCAAAAGCAAGCCGTCAAGAGTCGGGGCCTCGTGTCTTTAAAAAAAAAACGAAGAAGAAGAAGAAGAAGAAGAAGCTCAGGTGACATCCCCAACAGCATGCTGTGCTCTCTTTAGTGCTCGCACCACCCCGCAGCCCCAGAACCTCGTGGAACCCTGGTGGAACCCTGGTGGAACCTGGTGGAACCCTGGTGGAACCCTGGTGGAACCCTGGTCAAACCCTCGTGGAACCTTACCTCAGGGCCGCCCCGGACCACCGCGGAGCCTATCTGGGCTGAGACCCCAAAGCTTTCAGCTGTTGGGCAAAAACACTGAACTGGGTGCCCCTTTAGAAGGCTTTGTTTGTTGTTGGTTGTGGCTGAAATTATTCTTTTTTCGGGCTCTTTTTTGCATTGACACATAAAACGCTTTGTTTGCTTGTTTTTTTTTCCGCGACTCTTTTGGGCTCCTTGGGGCAAACCCCAACGAGCCGCACATGTGGCTCATCTAGGGCTGAGGTCCCAGCATGCCAGCGACCAGCACTTCCCCCTTGTGGCCTCGGAGCGGATGAGATCGCTGGCTTTTTCCGGGGGGCCGTTTAAGCACAAACACCCCAAAACAATTGGGGTTCCCCTTCAAACCCCATGTCCGAATTCACTGGCCACTTTATGGGTCTATGTTACATACCGTGAAGAAGGGCCCACGTAAGAGTAGAGGTGAGTCTGGTAGGACGCGCGAAGGCAGAAACTCCATTGTCACTGTCTCCGGAAATAGCTGTACGCGCGCGAAGCGCATGCAAAGCGCTCTTTGCCTTGGCACAAAAAAAACAGCGGTTTCAACTGGCCGCTTCCCCACATTTGGGTGTGGCTCAAAATTCAAGAGCTAGGGTTGCGCAGGCTGTAGTGTTTGGTTCCATGTACAAAGGTGCCATTTTGGTACATGTCTGAGCCACGCCATTTCCCAGAAGCACAAAAACATCATCCTGGCGGAAGGGTCACGCAGCTGGCCTGTTCAAAAGGTGCTCTTCTAAACCACACCCGTTCGGGAACGTCTAATTAGATGGGAAGCCAATACAAGTCCTGCAGCATTTGAAAGCCCCCGCTTTGAGACAAACACACAAACACACAGACACACAGACACACAGACACACAGACACACAAACACACAGACACACAGACACACAGACACACAGACACACAGACACACAGACACACAGACACACAGACACACAGACACACAGACACACAGACACACAGACACACACACACACACACACACACACACACACACACACACACACACACACTTATCTCGAGAGGCTTCACTAGCCGAGATGAAAACCGCAGTCAGTAAAAGTGCTTGAATGTAAATGCAAATCGACAGGTCACAACATCGACACCGAACAGGAAGCAACAGCAACAGGCAGAAACCGCAAAAGGAATCAGGAAAGAGGTTCAAGAAATAGGCAGGTACGTCGGATTGATCAGATCCGATATCCCATGACTGAGGTAGCTTCGTTGAGTGCGGTCCCTCAGTCATGCCGCACTCCCCTGCAATGTGGAATTTCCGTCCGTGCTCCAGGACGCTTCACACACACGGAGCCCCAACTGGGGCGACATCACTTGTGCGAGGCCCATTGAGTCTTGCAAGCATCAATTGTGCGAGAAAGTCTTGTGGCGATGACTGACCACACATACTTGGCTTTGGAATTGGTCTTAAGGGAACGGAGGAGTTCAATCTCTCCCTCAGTCCAAGGCTGCGAGGCTTCAGGTTCGGCCTCAGTAGAGGCATCAGTCCTGGTCGATGTGGTAGCTTCGCTTGGTCCATGAGCAGGTTTGGATGCCGTAGATCGTGAGGAGGCCAAATCACGTGTGCGGCGAGCTCGTTTTTTGTCGGGAGAAGACGGAGGAGGAGTGGGCGGGGCCCAATGATCAGGGACTTGTTCGTCATGATCAGTGGGAAGGTGTTCATCTGGAGCATCAGGAGGTGGCTCAAAGAGGTCCTCGAGGGGGGCCAGGAGGGGTGTTGGTGGTGAGTTGGTCAGGTCCTCAATGGCGGGGTTGAGCGTGGCCTCCGGTGCCAAATCAGGTTCGGCAGTCGGACTCTCAGTGAACTCGCGGATGGTGGCGATGCCTTGTTGGGCAATGCCAAGGATGAGTTCGAAGTCTTGGAGCAGCTGGCGTGCTGTGTTGGTATCCATGCTCGCAACGGATTTTGGTCAAACAGTCAAACAGCTGCGGCACGAAAATCAGGTCAAATCTGTCAGGATGCAAAGGCAGAGAAGAAAACCAGTGTGGTTTCGCAAAGGACGGTTTTTCTTCTCTTTGTAAGGTGAAACCGTGTTGGAGGTACAACCTCTTCAACATTGCAAGATCCTGATCTCGCTGAAATTCAGGAAAGGAAACTCGGCTGATCAGCGTGCGTCTGGAATAATATCCAGATTCCTTATGTATCATTGGTGCGGCTGACTTGACGGAGAGCATGTTGTGCTTCTCATGCGAGGGAATGAAGGAGATGGTGCTGCTTGTGAGGTTCAGTCGGAACCCCAAGAAGTCCAGGGCGGCTTCTGTTTCCAGGAAGATGTCTCCTCCATAGAAGTGTTCGTCGCACAGTATGTTGGCTGCCGGAGTCGAGAGCCACCTGGGGGTTGCGATCACGAGTCTGTTGTCCACGTAGCGGAGCAGGAGAGTATCTTCAACGGAGCGAAGTCCCGATGTGATGTGAGTGTTGGTCCAACATTGTTCGGCGACCGCGATCACCATCAAACAGAGAGCTGGGGACGCGGGGGATCCCATCGGTGCCCCACGTGTTTGCCTGAATGAACGAAGGCCGACAGAGAAGATCTGCATGTCAAGGGTGGCCTGAATGATCTCGGGGATGTCGTCGAGCCACAGGGTGCGTTGTGTGGGTTTGTGTCGGCGACGGCGTCCGTTGTAGACGCGGGTGATGGCAGAGGTGTCAAGTGTGTCCACTGTGAGGTGTGTGGTAGAGGAGTGTGGTTGTCGTTGTCGGTACCAGGTTAGCAGTAGTCGCCAGGCTGCTAAGAAGCGGTCTTTGTCGATGGAGGTGAAAAAACCGGAAAGGTCCTGGTTTCGGTAGTCCAAATGGGTGTGGCCGAGGCTTAGAAACTCGTGCAAGGACCGCATGAGTTCAAAGAGGTCGCCACCTGAAAACGCGTCAGGGCAAGCCGTGGTCACCATGCTGTGGAGGAGCTTGGCGAGAGCGTCGAGCATGGGTCGGAAGAAGGCGCCAATGAAACTGATGATGGGCCGGGCAGTGGTCCAGTTCTTCTTCCTCTTCGGGAGGATGTAGGCGTTGGCTGGCCTTCCGAATCCGGTCACGGCCCAAGGATAGCGGCCGCGGAATCTGGTGACAATGGTTTCTCGTAGTCGTTGGTGGATCTCAATGGCAGGGACCGGCAGAGGGGCGAAGATGGCAGGGTCCGCAAAAGTGGCTTCCAACATCTTGCCGTAGAGAACGGGACAATAGATCATGAGTCGGGAGTCCGCATGGTCTTCGCAATGGCGGACAAGGGGTTCCAGGGTATGCAGAGCCCGTTGGACGTGGGCGTGAAGAAAGTACTGTGATGTGTGTGAAAGGTGGAGGTCGAAATGGAATTCGACAATAGTAGTGAGGGTTGATGGGTCGAGCGCGGGTAGGTTGTTGGTCCTGGCCCAGTGTTGAAATGCCTGGGTCAGGCGACTCATCAAGACCCCTCGTGGAGGAAAGAAGGAGTTGCGCATCGATCCGGATAGCATGTGGGCAGTGTCGGAGTCGAACAGCTCATGGGTGTCTGCACCGGAGAAAAGAAGGTGTCCGTCATGCTTCGGGAGGGATGGGTGTCGTTGGGCGAGGTCGGTGCATGTGCAGGTCGTTTCACCGAGACTCCAGGTTTTTGCTGCCTGGAGATGTGAGAACAAGGCACTGGAGAGTCTCCGATGTGCCTTGAAGACAATGCGTGGTTGTGCCATGTGAAACGGTAAAGCGCTGCGAGTGGTAGATCGAATAAACCCGCGAAGTTGGGTTAAAAGCAGGGATCGGAAAGAAGGATGGGCGAGGAAGGGTGCAAGCATCGGTCTGGAGGGGCCAGGTGGAATGAGGCCCCGGAATCGTAAACTGGATCGAATGGCGGAAAGGCATGCCTGGTGGTGTGGTTCAGGCAGGTGCGTGGCTATGCGATGAAGGACATAGAGAGCGGCGGGTGGGAAGTCTCTGCTCCGTATGTAACGGATGGCATCAAATCGTCGTAGAGTGTTGCTGCCAAGATCGCCCAAAAATCGCCACAAATCCAGGCGGTTGTTCATGCGCTTGGCCAGGAAGGCCTGTTGTAGGGCGATGGGTAGTCGTAGTCGGCGGCGTTTTCGCCAGATGGTGGCGAAGCCCATGTGCCGGGATTGGGAGAAGTCCAATTGGCGTGTGAAGCCCGTGCGTGGCCGGAAATGTCTCTCGATGAAGCCAAAATTGAGAGACGGTTGCAGTTCCTGGATGTAGAACTGTTCAGTGGCAAATAGGTCCGTTGCTGGAACGGCAGTGTGAATGGGCACCGAGGTGTAGTGGTGGAAAATGTCAAAATGTGCCCACCACCGGACTGCTAGTTCGGCATTGACCAGATGATGTCGCTGAACTTGGAGTAGTTTGCGAAGTCGGCTGTGGTCCCGTGCCATGAGGGAGGTGCGAGTGGCTCCGAGGTAGAAAAAGGTCTGCCACTTTGGATGGCTGGTGAATCTCAGATAAACCGCTGAAGGGACAAGCTGAGAAGAGAAATCGGAAGCAGGGTTGTCCAGGCCAAGTCGAGTAAGCAGGGCTTTCAGTCTGCCGGAACCACAGGAGAGATGGCAGACGTCAAGTAGCTGAAGCTGTGCGAGTAGCCAGGAGCAAAATGACGTGCGGTGACGTCATCGGTTGGGAAGAACCGAAGAGTGAAACGGAGGACAGTGAGAAGTTGGCAGCAGTGGTGTTGCCAAAATTTGTGCTGCCTGGCTGTGCGTCGTTGTCGGTGTGCTGTTGAGAGTCACTGGTAGAAGTGACTCGCAGCGGCCAGGATGCGGCCCAAGGCCGATGACCCCAGTTTTGATAGGGTTCGCACCGGGATGCCCCATAGCACAGCGGCTCGTTCGAGTTGGGCTCTGGTGTCGGAGTCCAGTGTGGTTGCCCATTTTGCGCAGTCGTTGGACCAGCTTTTTAGGACTTGCTTGCTCTCTTTGCTGGTTTTCTGGGAGGTGATCCATCGCTGGACTTTGGTGTCGGAAATGTCGGGTGGGAAGTTGTTGGTGAGCCATTGGCAAACGTGGGGAGGTGGTTGGAGCAAGTCGCGGGGCTCCTTCCAAGTGGGTGGGGAGGGGAGGGGGGGAGGGGTCGGGGTGCCGCCGTGGGTGGAGGGGGCTGGAGGGTTGCCGCCGTGGGTGGGGGGAGCCGGGGGGGGTTGGGAGTCGTCTGCAATGCGAGTGGGCAGGGGTAGGGCGGGGGATCCGTCCTGCGGTGATGTGTCAGGTGTAGTCAACCGTGGTCGCTTCATGCCGAAGTCCAGGAGGGAGGCCTGAGATGGATCGGCTGGGCGTTTGTTGGATGAGGTGGGTGTGGGGGGGAGGGGGGGGATGAAGCCTGCTGGGCGAGTTGGTTGTGTGCGTCAGCAAGCTGTTGCTGAAGCTGGAGTATGGTGGCCGCGGAGGCCGGATCGGCCGTAGTGGTGGGTCGGAGGGAGATGAGGAAGTCGAAGATCTTGCTGGTGAGTAGCTTCATGGCTGCTGGTTTGGTGGTCGAGGCGCCCTCCTGCGTGGCTACATGGAGGGCGAGGGCGTCCAGGTCGAGGTGCCGTTGTCGGATTTGGCTGAGTAGTCCAGCAGCAAACACTGATTCCGGCATCGACTTTGCGACAACGATGCGGACTTCGCCTCCGTGGGCGAGGTGACGCAACCACCAACTGTTCCACTGTTCGTGCATGAGGTGGAGGAGGGGGACGCGAGCGATGTCTTGTCCCTCGATGCCCATTTGCCGAGTAAACGCGGTGTGCGTTATGACCTTGGGCAGGTCGTACCCCGCGACGCGGGTGGTGTCGTAGTGATCGTCGCCAGGGTTGAACTCGGTTGGTGTTGGGACTGAGTGGACGGGTCGAAGGGCCGGGGGAGGTTTGGATTGCGAGGCGGTGGAGGGGGAGGGGAAAGGTGGAGGGCGGGTGAAGGGGCCGGGGGGAGGGGGGGGAAAGGGGTTGCCGCCGGGAGGGGGGGGGAGAGAGCCGCCAAAGGAGGGTGGACGAGGGCCGGGGTGTGGTGGGTAATGGGGAATAGGTTGGCCGTAGGTCTGACAGGGAGTCGGATGTGTAGTTGGCGGTGTCCATGTCGTGGAAGAGCATCCGTAGGAAGGTCCGGACAGGGCCCCGCACGGGTTTCCGGCCATGTTGTTGCCGTACATGATGCCATGATGATGGGATGCCGTGGGCGAAGGCTGCGGTGGTAAGTTTTGCCTTTGGAGCATCGGAACCAAACCTCGAGGGGGTTGGAAAGCCATGAGAAAACACGGGGGAAAAGGAAATGTTCGAACCAAAAGCTGGTGAGCGGAATCAAGCGGGTAAGGTCACAAGGCGAGAGAACGGTCGCAGAAAGGCAGAACAGCAAAGCAAAGAAAAAAAAAACGATCAAACAGTGCACCAATTCTTTTCCTGGTCGGGTGGAAGATGGTACATTTGCGTCCCGCTAAGCCGGGCGCTGCAGCGCGATGCCTCTCAGCATCGCAAACTTGGAGTGAAGGCACCACTTTTTGCCTCGGCGGCATGCGAAGTGGCGCCGCACGTTATGTTGATCCTCGTGGCTTCCCCCGGATTCGAGGATTTTGTGCTGATTGATGGAGCGTAGTTCCCCAAAAGCGATGGCGCCGAGTTGAGACTTTCCGATTGTAAAGTTCTGCAAGAGCTGGCCGAGCGTGTCGGGCGTGCATGCCGTGGGGGTGGCCTGAGCGTAGCATCCAAAGCTCGGGTAGTCATGGTTCTCGGGCCTCCAAGCAGCGGGTCGGATCATGTTCTCATGGCACATGCGGCGCACTCGATCCGGGGTGGTGCCGTGCACATACATGACAGCGTGATGGGAGGCCGTGCCGGATCCAGCTTCCGGGTCTCCGCCAGCAACTGGCCAAGGATGAGGTCGAGGAAACCAAGTGGTTGCGAACACCATGCCGTGTGATTCCCGTCCCAAGAGGTGGTAGAAGCTGGGACCGAACGGTATGGGATCATCCGTGTCCATGGTTCGCAGTTCCCAGCATTCCGCGAGGAGATCGGCATGTGAAGGTGGCAAAGCAGGGTCCAGGTTCATCAAAATGGCCTTAGTCTGTTCTATCCTGGAGATGTCCAAGGCTGGAAGCGGGTCCAGCTCCCCCAACTCCCTTGGCGTGGGAACTCGCAGCGGGTCAGTCTTGGCCGTGTCCATGACGTTTCTCCATAGATCAAGCCACCGGTTGTCGGAAGTGGTGGTGGCATTGATGTCCGCCTCCGATGGAGGGGGATCCAAATCATCGGTGTTGTCGAAGGGGGGTTGGGGAGGGTGAGGAGTAGCCAGCGTGGGTCGGGGAGGGGGAGGGGGAGTGGAAGTGAAGGCCGCCGCAGGTGCTGGGTGAGGGGGCAAGCTAGTGTTGTGGTGGCCGGTGCGGGAAGTGGGGTGGGGTTGCTGCCCATGGTGCTGCAGTGACCAGGACGATCGTTTGTCCTGGTTGTTTCGGTGGCCGGTGTGGCTGGCGCCATGGTGGTGCATGTCCCAGCGGTTTTTGTTCTGTGGTGGGTGTCCCCACGATTGGTTCCACCAGTGTGAGGAGGACCATTGAGACTTGTTGGAATCCTTCCCGGAAGTGCGCCAGGAGGTGGAATCATGAGTAGTGTGAGTGGGTCGGTGCGAAGTCGTGGCTCTGGGTGCAGGGGAGTGTCGATGGTGGGACCTGTGTCGGGGGGAGCGGGAGCGGAGGGAGACAGTGGAGTGGTGTGCACGTCGGGAGTGGTGGAGGTGTCGGGAAGGGGAACGTGACCTGCTGTAGCTGCGGGATCGTCGGGTGTCGTGTCGTCGGTGCGACTTGTTGTGCCTGCGATGGTGGCTGGTGTGGGAGTGGGAGTGTCGGTGCTGTCTGTGGCGGGAACGGGATCTGCGAGAGTGGGGATGGTGCCGAGTGTCCGGGGGAGGGTGGTTGGTTGAGGAGGTAGCGGCAGGAGCCGCAGCGGCAGCTTCGGGCGCGCGCGCCGGCTGAGGCTCGGGCAGTGAAGATGGCATGCTGCTCTGAGTCATGAAAGGCATGATGGTGCCAGGTGCCAAGTTGCCGTAATTGGGAGGGCCACCGTAGGGCATCATGGCCATCGGGTTGCCAAAGTTCGAGAGGCCGCCGTAGGGCATCATGGGGAAAGGTGTGAAGGATGCCGTCTGCGAGTTGGGTGACGGTACAAGGTTCATGGGCTGCGTCATCTGGGATGACAGCTGCAAGTTCGGTCCACAATTGCCTGGTGAGCCGGACGCGGTGCCGGTCGCAATGTTGTGTAGGAGCGAATGCATCATGTCATAGAGCTGGTGTCCAGCCATCTCGCAAGGGAGAGAGAAGGTTGGAAAGGGGTGAAACAAAATCACAACTGCGGCAAAAATGCGTCAATGGTGCAAATGCATGCGAGCACAAAGGGGGTCTCAGAGGTGCCTGTCAAGTGGCCTCATGAAAGTGCCTCATGTGGCTATGCCGATGAATCTGAATTGAACTCATCCGAGACGAAAGCTTCCATAAACACCCCGAATTGCAGAGTTGGTGTGTGACCAACTCGTCACTGGCGCATGAAGCTTAGGAACCTAAAACCTCGTGGGCGCAGCCTTGCTTCAAAGGCAGGCAGTGCAACGCACATGAAACCAGCAGAGCACCATTTGGGTGCGGAATACCTTAAGACCTCAAGTTGCAGCCTTGATCGTGGTCAAGCGCGCTGAACGGCAGGTTGAATTTGAACGTATGAACGGTCTTCCCCTCGCAGGGGGCTCCCGCATGTGGCGAGTCCAGCCCACAGCGCCATGTCGGACAGGCCGTGGGTAAACACACTTATCTCGAGAGGCTTCACTAGCCGAGATGAAAACCGCAGTCAGTAAAAATGCTCGAATGCAAATGCAAATCAACAGGTCACGACGTCGACACCGAACAGGAAGCAACAGCGACAAACAGAAACCGCAGAAGGAAATAGGCAGGTACGTCGGATTGATCAGATCCGATATCCCATGACTGAGGTAGCTTCGTTGAGTGCGGTCCCTCAGTCATGCCGCACTCCCCTGCAATGTGGAATTTCCGTCCGTGCTCCAGGACGCTTCACACACACACACACACACACACACACACACACACACACACACACACACCTTCCTTTTCGGACCAGGCTCCGAATCCCTGCCGCCGAACCCGTGCCCATTTTCCGTTTTTTCTTCTGAGGCGGCGCGCCAGAAGAATGGGCGATGGACTCCGCCAGGCCTTTCAAAGATGCGGGGACCTCGGCTCGAGTCTCGCTGCAGCTTCCCTTCAGCTTCCCCTCCAACAAGGGTGGCTTGGAGCCGGAGCCGGAGCCCGGTAGTTTGGTGGTGACATGGATCACATCGCCCGACCAAAAGTTTGGGGTTCCCAAATCATCCCAAGCCAACTGAGGGCTACCTGGTTTTTGAAGCGCCCAAACCACCCGGCTACCCTGGTTCACATCGCCCAATGGGTGACCTGACTCACGGGAGGGACCGTTGGAGGCCTGAGGCCAAAATCATATGCTGTGAGCCTAGGGTCTTGGACCGACTTGAGGATTCGTGTCCTGAGTCGTCATGTCCTATTGGAGCGTTTGGACAATTTAGCCCCCCACCCCCCATTTTGGGTTGCAGGGTCATATTCCCTGTTGGTCGCAAAAAGATGCATGGAGTCTCAAACTACCCTTGCGGCAAGATCCCCCTTTAAAGGCTAGTTCGAGGATTTGTGCAGCACCCCCTTTTGCCCCCCCCCCTCTCCCCAAGGGAATTTGTCCTCTGTGTGCCTGGTGCTCTTTTTTTTCTGTGTGTGTGTGTGTGTTTTAAAACAAAAACAAACCAAAAAAGCATACATATACATATATACACATATACATATATATATATATATATATATTGTGCTTTTTGTCCGGCAGAATCTCGCAAGCAGAACTCATGTTTTGCCAAAGCCCCCGCTTCGGGCTCCAGAAGCCGAGAAACCTTCCCGGAGGTTCCTGGGGAGTTTTTCCCTCGCGCGACTTTTTTTTCTCTTCGATGCTGTGGAGGGTTGCGAGACCCAAATCCATCCAACGCAAACGCAAACCCGGAAAAAAAAAAGGGATTCGAGTCCGAGGTGTCCCTGTAAAAAATGCCAACGAACAACCTGTAAATGCCAACTTGAACGTTAGGGTGTCAACCATGGGTTCCAAGTCAGGCGAAATGGATTTCGCATTTCCATCCACAGTATGTCAGCTCGCACTGCGGCTTGCTTGCCTGTAGGAAATCCTCAAGCCTGCTCTCAGAATTGCCTGTCGAGTTGAGTTGTCAAAAGAGTTGAGTTGCCACATGCTAAAGAGATCTGCTGCATCCTGCCTTGGAAGAACCCTGACGCCGCTTTGAGACATCATGCAACCTGGTTTCTGGACCCAAAGCCCAGGGTGAGAAAGCCGAATTTCTTGGGTAAAGAATCGAATTTCTTGCGAAAGAAAGCGCAAAGGTCAGGCGCTCGGCCCGCACGGCTTGCTGTCTTCCGAGAGAGCAAGGTGCTGCCCGCGGTTTGGATTGGTTTAGTGGTTTGGTGGTTGGGGGTGGCTTCCCAAACTAACAAAAAAAGCCCCCCCCTCCCTCCCCCCCCAAAAAAGAAAAGAACGATCCTTGGGGAGGGAGAGAGACAGAGAGAGAGAGAGAAAGAGAGATCGATCCTTGGAGAGAATGTCCAACAAACCCAAACCTCCTTGGGCTGTCAAGGTTCCGACTTGCAATCGAGACTCGGCTGCGGGAACATGTTTGGACACCCCGCCATAAACCCTGCGATTGACTCTCCTGCAAGTTGTCCTCCCACTAACATGGAACCTCACCGGGGAGTGCTGGACCATTGTCCTTTCAATTGGAGCGTTTGGTGGGTTCCATGCTAGTGCACTCCTCAATAGTCCCCTCCTTTTGGGCGACCTCGCCGAAAGCAAACTCATCTCAAAGTGGCAACCAACAGGCGACGGTGGTGACGTTTAACCCAGCTGAAAAGTGTGTGCCTTTCTGAAGGGAGGCCCCTTTTGGTTTTTATAGGGACACTAACCAGACACCTTTTGTGGGTGTCCCCTAATTTTGAAACAACCCCAGTTTTGGGCACTAACCTTGCACGTCTAGCCCAAAATTGCCGCGGGACAACTTCTTTCTCCAAGTACAGCACGCGCAAAAACCGCGGCTTTCCGCCTAAATTCGACCTTGAGCAGTTCGCCCGGCAAGCAACGCCTCAAGGTCTGCGCCTGAGCCTTCGGGTGAGTGGACCCTTTGGACATCATTTGGGGACATTGGTTTAGTCCGTGAGGTCCATGTATGAACCCATAGCTTTTGCCTTGCCTGAGTTTTTGTCTGCCAGAGTGTTGCTGTTTTGAGGCCCCATGGCGGCCGCTGTAGCCTTTTGGGATCCTTTGGGCGGATGTTCCGTAAAGCCATATTCTATCGGTTGATTAACCCATACAGACTTCATACCAGGGAACCAATGGTTCAGCCTTTAGGTAAATGGTGTCCCGTGGGCTCCAAAAATAAAACTTGCAGGTGCTGAAGAATTGGAATGACCCCAAGAAAATCATCCAATGTTTAGCAGTTAAGAGGTTGGATTTCCTACTAAACCACAATAAGCAAAACAAGCACAACAAACAGCCAAAATCAAAAAAAAAAAGCATAACAATAAGCAAAATTAAGCAAACATAAGCTAAAAGGTTGCCTAACGACCACCATGACAACTCCGACCGGGGCCCCGAAACTTGGCCGAAAGAGACAGAAACAAATCCTCCCCTCGGGGCGCCCCGACCTCGATGCTCGAGCCCGGGCCCGCGCCTGAGCTCGAGCGCACGCTTCGAAGCGCGCCCGAAGAAAGACGCCCCGACAAACGGAGCGGGGGAGCGAGCGCCGCCGCCCAGGGAACGGGGCGCCCACCAAGCGGGGCACCAAAAAAGGGCCACCCAGCAAAATCTGAAAAGAACAGCTCGAAAAAAATCGAAACTTCGAAATGGGGCATTTTGACTCTCCCGAAGCTAGAGGGAGACACTCCCCCCCCCCCAAAACAAAAAAAAATTGGGCGAAAAAGAAGCGGAGAAGAAATTGGATGCGGGTCCAGCTTCCTTGCCTCCCGGAAAAAAATCGGGGAAAGTCCAGAGTTGCGCAGCGACCTCCCTGGCTTCCCATGGAAACCGAGTTTGGGGCGTGCGCCTCGGCTTTCCAAGTTGAACCAAGGGCCCCAAAGGGGGAAAAAGACTGGGCAGTGAAAAAACGAAGACGTGGGGGGGTTGGGTCGACCGGGGTCAAAAGGCTGTGATGATGTTTTGGGCAGTCTGCCCATAGTGCTTGGGACAATATCGCCTATGTTCACCTTAAGGGACCTCCCTGTCAAGTTTCATGTCAATTGGTGGGAAGGTAGGGTCCAGGTATAGATGCTTTTGGGGAAGCCTTCAAAATGGGCCGGGGCGAAATCACCGAATGCATGGCGAATCCATGTCGCTTTCGCAGGGACCATTCGCTTCCACCTTGCTCCCGTGTGATCCAACTCCGGCAGTCGTACAGTTGACTGCACAATCTCCCCATTTAAGTTTGAGCCATCTCCTTTACTAGATAAAGGAAGCTGTGCCATCTGCTTGCACCCCAGCGTAAATGGGTTGGGCATTTCACAATCAACCATGTCCGCACCACCAGTGGCCAAATAAAGAAAGTGCGCTCCTTTTTTGGCAGTTGATTTGACAGAAATCAGGGCGCCGCGGGGGGCTGGGCATGTGTATAGTACATGTATGTATATATGTATATACATATATACATATATGGCCATAAATGTAGCTACACACATGCAGGTCTATGGCTACCAGCCGCCCCGGACAAAATGACTTGTTCCCCCAAGACGACATGACGAAAAAATGGCTTGTACACCTGCTTGTTTGGTGTTTTTCTTTGGTTTGACCCCCCCGGCGTTCCCCGACAGAGTATCACTCTGCTTGTGAGTTACTCATATCACAATCCCCATATCATAGCAAGCACCCTCCTCGTCCGCCTCTCCAGGTCTCCAGGCAATGGCTTTCATGTAGCCACTTCTCTCTAGCAGCTGATTCCCGGAAAATTCCAAGTTGGAAAGGACAACCCACCATTTGAGTGAAGCATTTCCTCTAAAATCGGACCTCCGTATCTCACTTGAGTGGATTGGCCAGAACGAGTCTAACCTGTTTGTCTGCCACCAAAATGGTAGTGTGTGGAGTGAGATGTCCATCAACCAGAAAAGTGGTTCTTACGGGTCAACATTGCAGAAAGCCGAAGAAGAACAGGAACCAAGTGTCTACTGTTTTCAGGGCCTGCCCGGCAAGAAAATAAAAAGAAAATTCAAACGCCCCGAAATCGTGTCCGAACTCAGTCTGGGTCAAATGACATGTCCAAATGCGGCAGGGAAATTGAAGCACCGCTTTCAGTCACCTGACCTCATTCCAAGCAGCCCGGCTTTCTGATTCCGAGCTCGGTGACAGCATGGACTTGGGAGTCTCCTGCATCGGCAGCGCAAAAGCCGAGCGACCTAACGCACGTACAGGGTCTCTATCTGCGGAAAGCTGTCCGAAAGGGGCCGCAGCAACTTGCATTTGCTCTGAAAGGAAGACCCCCCGCAACAAACATAAGCATGGAACCCAAAAGGCCGACTGTTGCGCAAAGGAGGTTCTATCAAAGGATAGGTAGACGCCCGGGGAAAAAAAAGAAAAAAAAACTAGCTGCACCAGGGCCGCGTGGACCTGGCTTGCGGCGCAAGTCCCTATGATCTAAGCCACAAAACACCACGAGCCTCGCGGCGCGCGACATGACCCGGACGCTCCCGATGTATTTTGGGGCCCTCAAACACCCGGGTTTTGAGACCCCCAAACCCCCTCTGGGGTGTCCAATGGAGGGTGTGGGTCTTCCACTGCAAGTTTCAGGAGCGTCTGGGTAGTACAATAAACTAGCGGCACGTTTTCTGCGCTGGAGCTGAGGGTTCGCGCGCACTCAGATCAGACGACTTGTTCGTTGCAAAAAAGTGTTTTGGAGCTGAAGCTGCAGGAGCGCGCAGCTTCTCGTACTACGTGTGTACGGAGCCGCCAGATTTTGGAATAGGGTGGGGCGACCCATTGGTTTAAACATGTTTAAACCACTGGTTATGATGATTCTTCCCTTGTAAAGGTGGTGTTTAAACCAGAGTGAAACCACCGACCCTGGGATCGGCGTGGTCGATGCGTAGAAACCGGAGCACTCTGCAACTCGGAGTGTTTTGAAACTGTTTACTGCTGAGTCTTTGGACTTGGTCTCGTGGTTTGCGCGCCTGCTCTCGAAATCGACGGGGCCTTTTTATTCGACTGCCTGCACGTTGGCGGGCTTTCTCAAGCTATGACCGTAGCTTTTCAGTCCAAAAGCAGTATGCGAAGTGCTCAAGTTCAAATCCTGCAAAATATGAGCCCAAACCCTAGCACCGCACAAGAATACTTCAAGCAAAACCCGTGCAATCTGAGGCGTGATCGCAGAGTCTCCGCGCAACTCTCCGTGCAATCTGCGCGCGCCATCTGACGTGTTTTCTGACATTGAAACTCAGCGCCCTTTCTCTAGTCTGCGTCTCTCCGATGTTTCTCTGAAAAGAAGGGCTTGCGATCTGGAGGTTAGTCTGCACCGCTGACTCGTCAGCCTCTGCGCAAGTCGAATGCTTCACATCAAGTCCGCGGCACTGCGGAAGAACCATTCGCAACGCTTTCAGGAAACAGCGATGGCAAAATATGCAGCTCACAACGTGGGAAATGGCATGGGAAACTGCGAAATCCATCAGCTTCCGCATGGGAAAATTGGACGAATCCCAAAAAGGCACCCTCACAGAAAGCCACTCGCATACGTCAAAGGGGACCCGAAAAAGGCTTGAAATGCGAAAGTCCTGTTCCTTTCGGTGTCCCCACCCAAAAAAAAAAAAACACGCCACCAACCCGACGTCAAGTACAACCCCTGCAGTTTTTCTGCGGGGCACTCTCTGGTTCCATTTCACGGTGTGTGAAGCGCCCGCCTGGTGGGGGAAGCCGACATGGACATCGCGACCAGGTGGAGACCTGCGGCCGAGAGCTGTCGAAGCGCGAAGCCTTGGGGTTGGGTTTATGCGCGTCGTGTTTTTTGAGACTACCCTTTTGGCTGGGTTGCAAAGGGAAACCAACAGGACACCAAGCATTTATTTGTTGTGTGTGGTGGTGTTGCTGTTGTTGATTTTCTTTTCCTTTCTTTTTTTTTTGGGGGGGGGAGTTGTGGTCAAAATGGAATCCATGAATCTGTGACAGGTTACAAAAAGGGCAGAACCCCAAAGACTAACACCCCACAAGGCGGAGACTTGCGAAGATATCACAGAAGTGGTTGGATAAACCCCGAGTGATCCCACAAGCCTGTATTCAAAGGACACCCACCATTTTTTAGGGGGGTCGTCTAACAACAGACCCACCCACCTAGGGGATTCATAAAGCCTCGCAAAAGCCGGACAACGTACCGTCCGGCACTGTAGGTGGACTTGGTCCATAGTGTTGCAACTGAAACGTGTGTCAAAAGAGGGGCTCTCGGTGGTCCCCCTTTAAACTTTGAATCAACCTGCAAACTGTACCTCAACAAAAGAAACAGCTGCTTCATGACTGATGGGTCAAAATTCATCAGGTCGAGGCGGAGATATAAACAGTCAAAGGTTAAACCATGTCAAACAATTGCAGGGTACGACAGCATACAGAATCTGCCTTGGCTTTGGCAAGAAACACCTGCGGGCTTTCTGTGGTCTCCTTTGGATTTCCTGAGAATACCCCCAAGAAAGATATCCTGCAATAACATTGGCCACGACAATGGTAGCCACTTTAAGGCTTCCTTTTGAATAAACTAACCCCAACAACGGTATCCGAATCGGTCTTTTGGCTTGCTATAACGGCTTACATACCCCAATATCTCTCTTTTTGCTGGTTCCATGCACAGGGCTTTCCGACTGAAAGAGCCTACTAAACTGGGGCTGTGGGCGCTCTTGTACCATAACTCCCGTCTCTGCAACCTCCAAACTGACTTGTCCCAGACGTTCGAAAGCTGCCGCCTGCAACGAAATGAGAAAACGATGCCAGACTGCTCCAACCCACTGCAAAAAGGGACTTCGTGGAAGATAAGCAAGCCTCCGAAATAAACCTGCTAGTCAAGCCTAAGTTTCCGCCGTGAACGCTCTACTGCCATTCGCTGCAAGAGATTTGGGTCTGCTCGTGCCCCACCAAAACCAGCAGCACAAAAACAGGGGCGTTCCTGGTGAACTCGCACTTGAAAAGGGGACCTTCAAAAAATAGAAACCGGAGCGGAAAAAATTGGGAGACTCACGTCATGACCCATGACCGTGTTTGTTCCAGGATGGGAAATGGCGAAGAGCAGGGCAGGATTGAAAGTATACCAAAATGAGAACAAGAGGTGTTTCTGGTCTTGGCATCCCAAACACTCCAAATAGTGTTGAACCATGCCCAAACTTTAGCATCCAACGATTCTCATAGGTTTGAAACACACAAAAAGGTGTTTCTTCAAACACATTTACCCAGAAGCTCGGGCCTTCTCATTGGCAGTGGCTTCGGTCACTACCAGTGAAGGGTCCTCCAAGACAGCCAAAACCCCAGAAGAAGGGTGGTCTCCAAGTAACCTTCGGTTCCCTTCGTGTCCCCTTTGGTCTCCCATGCCGCAGCCAGCAGCAGCGGGCCCCGCCTAATCTCGGGCTCCGGGAGCCCCCTCTCCGCCGGCTCAACCACCACCTGGCGCTCGAACCACAAAAAAAACACCGGGGGTGGTCAGTCTCCAAGCGTCAGGTGTCGCAACTTTTTTGGCAGGGGGGTGGGTTCTGTTCTTGTTCTTCTTTTTGTTCCTCTTGCCTTTGGTGTCTCTTCCATCTTTTGCTCGCACCTTTGGGCTTCCATCGTGATTTCTCGTGCCTGTTCATGCCCTTGGTGGTTTTCTCGTGCCTGGATTCGATATGGCTTCCTTTTCACCTCCAGGCTCGACACTACGACCGTGACATCCTCGGCTCCAAGTGGCATCAAAATGATCCGAATTGTGGCCAGGGGCGTCGGGCCCCGCAAGTTCGAGCCCTCAAAGTGCAACCGCATTTTGACCCTCTGGGGGAGGTAGGTTCTTCTCCATGAAAATCATCTGCACTTAATACATTATAAGCATTGACAAAATAATTTACCTCTTCGTACCGTAAAGATCTACTTGTTCTCCCCACCAATTGGGAAAAAAGAGGTCAATTTTGAGGGCGTCGCCGCCTTTCACCCCGCCCTTGGCGTCCCTTCCCCGCCCCATCGCCAAATGTCGATCCCGCCGCGGGGCCGCCGCGACGCATCTGGCCTCCATGTCCCGCATGTGCCGGTGGAAGAAGAGGCACTGGCAGCACCTTGTCTGCAACGAGTCGAGTCACGAGCAAAACCCGGTGTTAAAAATGGGCTTTCGGAAAAAAAAGGGGGAAAAAACAGTTTGTAAAAGGGTGCGGATTCATCTTGGGAGGTGTTTTTTCTCTTTTCGGATTTTTTCGAGGGATCCGTATTCAAAAATGGGCTTCGGAAAAATCCGCACAGTTTGCTGCGAACAGAGGGGGCAGAGTGCTTGGTCAACAGCCGCATAATCAAAACCCGGAATTAAAATGGTTCACCCAGAACCATGCTTCAGGAAATTAGGAAGGCGGCCGCAACTATTTACGGCTGGGAGTGTCCCTTACTAACCCTCATCTACCCGGGCTTTGATTGTGGCTCAAGCCAAGACACGGTTTTTGGTGTTCATTTCGGTGGACGCACGGGTAAGGACCAACATATAAATATTGCGAGTACACCAAACCAACGAAACAAAACCAGGGTAAACTACGGCATTTGCCTTTTCAGGGAGGGAGGGTCCGTACTTTTCATAAGTGTTGGACCACCTGCCAACCTCCTTTTGCTGGTCGAGAACCCCTGCTTTTGGTCATTTACAAATGTTAAAAACACAAAAACCAGCGCAACTTGTCCAGCCAAAAAAAAGCGCCAACACGTGGGTAGGCTCAAAAAGATTTGCACCGCCAACGCAGGGTTCAGTCTTTGGTTTTTATCCACCAAGGTGCCATGTTGGTCCATTGAGCCACAGCCACGTGCCAGTTTGGTCCATTCATTTGAGCCAAAACCCGGCACCGTGGGTTTCTCCACCCCCCTTCGATGGTCCCTTGAGCTACAGCCACCGGTGCACGACTTTGACCGATTTTCCCTCCGGGGCCCCGGCCATCTCTCCTCGGGCTCCTGGCAACGCACGGGGCCAGCCGAAACCCGAGAAAACAACGAGCCGAAACCCAACCTCCCAGCGAGCGCCCCTCGAATTGGGCATTGATGGAATCCCCCTTTGTATCAGAATCAAATCGCCTACCCTCCACGGTTCTTGGAAAAAACGATGATGGCTGAAACCCCTTGTCACAGAAACAAATCCCGCAAAACACCCGCATGGGATGCGAAAAATCTCAACCCAGAGGGAACACAACAGGCCTCGGGTTGGGGATGTTTGGAAGGAAGCCCACTGGAAACTCACATGCACAACAAACAATCTGCTTTGTGTTACGAGGACATCGTGAAATTGGGGCCCGCCCCCCCCCCCCCCCCCCTCGTGCCTTGTGGAAAAGCTTTTTTGGCCCGCCCATGTTGTTCTCGCCCAGTTCGGCAGGTCATGAGGAAGGCATGTGTCAACAATTTCGGGGACCCCAACATGATTGTTTGGCCCCCCATTGAACCAACCTCAAAGAGGGTACTCTTAAGATTTAGCAAGCGCGAGAGACAGCGACAGAGACAGAGATAGAGATAAAGACAGAGATAGATAGAGACAGAGACAGAGACAGAGGCAGAGGCAGAGGCAGAGGCAGAGGCAGAGGCAGAGGCAGAGGCAGAGGCAGAGGCAGAGGCAGAGGCAGAGGCAGAGGCAGAGGCAGAGGCAGAGACAGAGACAGAGGGAGGGAGGGAGGGAGGGAGGGGGAGGGAGAGGGAGGGAGGGAGGGAGGGAGGGAGAGAGAGAGGGAGGGAGAGAGAGAGGGAGGGAGAGGGAGGGAGAGAGGAACATCACCCTGCAGACTCGCTCGCGCCTCCTGATCAGCACTCTCAACTAGCCTCAGCTTGCTGGACAAAGTTTCGTCAGCCAAGGGGCCCTGTGGCTTGGACAAAATAATTCAGCAGCCAGAAGATCCTGAGATAGAGTGGTGCACAACATCCAGACGCCTGTTGGCATGGACGAAACTCGAATTGCAATTTTGGGTTAAATCACCAGTTCCAACTGGAGCTGAACCCGCTCTCCAAGGCCCATCTAGGCAGCAAAGAGATGCCGCTTGCCAGGTCTAAACGACGGCTATCTGAGAGGATGGGAGAATGAGTCCAAATGAGGCCCAGGGATTTCGTCCAAGGGCTTCCAAAAATGAGGCGCCATGGGGTTGATGGGCTTTGGGAAACCTAAGCTATTCGGTTCATGTGTATGTGTGTGTGTGTGTGTTTTTGTTTTTGAGGGTACCCTTTTTGGAGTGGCTTCAAAGGAAAGCCAAAAGGGAAACTAAACCCTTTTGAGGGAGACCTCCTCCCATGCTTGGCGATGGGTTCCCCCAAAGTGGAGACATACCCACACCACCAACTGGGTCTCCGTGGACGCCATTTTGACCTCGCAAGAGGATGAAGCCCGATCTATCTCGCGCAGTGAGCTTCGTGAGCTTCGTGCAGATTGCATGTCTGAGCCGGGGCCCCCGACGGAAGCGAGCAGTTGCTGCACTTGCCAAGAGGGCTGCCCATCACCTCGCTGCAAAGAAGACCATGGTGGAACATCCACTTCTGTACCAGTTGGATCCCCACATCACCTTGAAGGGAGATCCCTTGGTACCCGATAGCCAGGAAGGAGACACCCTGGGGAAACATGTCACATTATGCGGGCGCCACGTGGAAAACGATTGCGAACAGGAAGAACGCTCCTCGGCGCTTTTCTCTTCCTATTGGTGCTCAAGGGGACCAAAAGCTGGTTGCTGACAGCTTCCAAGGCACCCCATTGAAAAAGAATCGCTTGACTCGGGAAACTCGCAAGGAGCCCCAATGAGCCCCAAACAAGGCCTATTAGAGGCTTAATAAGGGCTTATTTGGGCTCCCTCCCCTCCCCTCCCTCCCCCCCCGCCGCCCCCGCAGGCCCCATGAAGTCCGTTTCGCCGCCATCGCCCCTTCCCAAAAACCCCAGCGATTTCCGGCGAATCCGGCCTTTCCGGCCGGCCGATTGAACTGCTTAGGAGTCCATCTCGCTGAGCCAGCCGGCGGGCGAAGCTGTGGATCTGCCTTGGGCCCTGGAAGGGAGGGCCAGGCAACCCAATTTGAGTCACAATCCAAACCCGGTGCCCTTACTAACCTTCACTTACCCGGGTTTTGATTTTGGCTCGATTGAATAATTTTCTAGGGGTTGATTCCTGGTCCATTCTTTTCAGCCATCGTTCTTTTCAAAAACCGATCGCCATTTCCCCAGGGTTTTTGGTGGTTTTCTAGAAAGAAGGATCCCTGGAAAGAATGGGGAAGTTACCCCTAGAAATTTGATTCTGCCTCCTTAGGAGCTCACCCCTTGGCTCATCCTTGGCATGTTCAATCATACACCCGCCGTACAGCCCCCCTGGCAGATTCATGAAGAGTACCAAAAAAGGACCAACAGGGAGAGGAACGTTGGAATGCACAAACCCATTGAGAATGGCATCTGGAACAACATTCAAGTTTGACTCAAAATACGTCGAACCTCCAAAATTGGTGGCATAAAACATGCTTCGCCAGATCTGCCAGAAGTGTTTGCCTTTGTTTTTCGGATCATGGGTCTTACTCCGGTCGATGACCTCTAGGTGGGAGAGTTGTTTCCTTGTGGTTTCCATATTCGAAAAAGGAAAGCTATCCAAGGTGTTCCTAATTTGAGGCAAACCCAAAACACTGCAGGGAGCGGGTCAAACGCAAAGGGCTTCAAAATGTTTTTAGAAGGGACGCCTTTGTACACAGGTGTCCTTTTTGCACAAGCCACAGCCACGGTCAAACTCTCCCGCAGCAGGACATAGCGTTAGTGAAGCAGAGTTTCTTGTCTCCCGCCATTTGTTCTTCAAACTGCTGAAGGAAAATTAGGGAGGCCCCATGCAAGACAAAACCGCCTCCGATGTCCCAACCTCCCACCCGGCCGTCCGGCCCATGTACCCGTTCTTTTGCTCAAGCCCGGGTCTTGGCATCGGTTCTGCCTGTTGCAAGCCGGCCCAAGGAATGCCTAAACCTAGGGGGGAACAGAGTCGGCCGACTCAGCACCTCCTGCACCGAACGGTTGCGACGTTGCCACCGAACGTGCAAGAGAGAGGAAACGTGCGAATGAAACGCGGCGCAGGGATTTCGATTGCGCCAGGACTTTTTTTGTTTCGTGGGTTTAAACGGAGCTCCTGTACTGTGACAATCTGTACTGGATGTGTCTGTCACAGCGGCTCACTTGTGCGACCCCCTGACCAGAGCGACCGCGGGAGCAACCAGCGGCCAAAGTATGCTGAACTCAGATGCCCAGTGGATTTCCATGCGAAAAAAAAGAAAAAAACTCGGCCTCCTTTCTTGGCTGGCCGAGTTTAAAGGAACATTGTTCGCCCTTCCCCAAAAAAAGGCCCCAAAAGCCGGCGGAATTTCCACTGGGCAACTGGGGGAATGGGATGCTCGAAGGTAAAGTCTGGTGAAAGTCTCGAGTCTTCAGTTCAACGGACGTGCTCAAAGAGGGGGAAGTTAGCAGTGGTCTTCCCGGGATTGGACTGGCCTCATGATTTTCCGTTTATCGAAGTCACCCCTAAAGTGACGGGTTGAAGGAAACAACCCCAGTTTCTGATTTTGATAACCCCAGAAACAGTCAAAATAATGACCCCAGTTGGATTCCTCTCTGAGTGCGAAATAACGAAATCCTGCACCAAGAAAACATGGGAAACCGTTGTTGGTTGGCATTTACAGGGAAACCATCCTTTTAGGGTTTGCTAGGTGGTGCAGGATTTCGTCCATCCACAGTTGGGGGCCAAGGGTAGCCCCCAAAACAAGACTGCCATGCCGCTTGCACTCCAATGCTTCGCCCTCCCCAATCCAAAGAATAAAGGATGGCCGGAATTTATGACAAAAATGCCCGCAGGGTTGCTCCCAAACAAGCAAACGGGTCACAAAAGGGCTCCACAAAGGCGAATGTTTGGACAACTCTCACAACTTGGTTGACGTTGGGTTAGGGGAGCAAAAAATGTTCAACTTTAGCAGTTAAGAGGTTGGATTTCCTTCCCACTAAACCACAATAAGATCAAAAATGTCCTAACGACAACCATGACAAGCCCTTGGTCTCACCAAACTGGGAATCAACCCCTTCCCACTTACCCAGCTTCTGCTGTCGGCCTTGCCCCTCTTTCGCCCCCCCCCCAAATGGAGCGCTTTAGGCGTGTTTAGAAGAAGAAGAAAAACACGCCCAAAAGCCAAAGTAGACACCTGCGAAATACAGCTCTTGGAGCCGTCGAAATCGGCAGCTATCTTTGTTTCTTTCATTTTCACGCCGCACGTTAGTCCCCGGACAGCTTTGCGCCCTGGGGGACTTGAAAATCAGGCTCGGGCGAGCTATCCCGACTAAACCCAGGGACACCCCCCTCATAAACTGGGGTGGATGAAAATGCGGCCAACAGTACGTTTCAACCGTTGCCCTATAACGGCCAAATCTGGCCCAAGTGGACCGAATCGGTTCGGTCTGCTTTGACGTGCCCAACCCTGTGACTCAGCCCCAGTTTACAGCTCCGAAAAGGCTGTAAATCCGCGAGCGCAGCCGGGCAAACCGGGGGTTGGACCAAACATGTTGCTGTGGGGCGCGGCATCTTCATTCTTCCAAACAAACGGATTGTCAGCAGCTGTAGTGCAAAACTATCGGTTTTGGCAACCCCCGGACCTATCTCCACGCAATTCAATTCCCGTCATGGTTGTGGAAAAGCGGCTTTTCTGTGATGCCAAAGTGGCTGCTTGAAACCAAAAAACGGGCGACGAATCCTCAAACCCCGGTTTCTACCATTGCCCTTTGTGTGATATCCGGAGAAAAAAAAAACAACCCCATGCCCACTGACCCCAGTTTTCCAGCACCACGACCACATTTCAAGCGAGCGAAGCGACTTATGCGACTTCCTGGATCTCTAAGTCCAGCTCCCCGACCAAAGCGACCTCCTCTGAAACCGGCGCGGCCTGGCAGTTTCAGACCAGAATGATTCCCTGACCGGGACACCAACCATTCGGTCCTCCATTCGTGGCAAATAGCTTGCTGCGGTTCTGGAACTGGGCTGCATGAGCTTTGTAGGATACCCATTTCATACCCGTTCATATTCTTCGGACTCCAGTCGGGTCAACAGAGCTCCAGTTTCTGACCAGCGGCTTGCATGGCCGGAGGTTGCCACCACAGACTTTGCCCCGACCAAGCTGGACAACAGACCGCAGGAACTTGATTTGGCTGTGGCTCCAAAACCCGGTGCACAAGATTGGCCCCCTGGTAAATGGGGCCAAAGACCAAAACCTGCGTAACCCTAGCTCTGAAATTTTGAGCCACACCCATTTGGGTTTGTCCAAAGACTAAACTATGAGGGACCCACAAACTGGCTCCCTTCTGTTTGCCTTGGGGTTTCCAAGCAAGCAAACGTAGCCATTGGTGTCGTCAAGACTCGCTACCTATGCTGAAACGGGAGACCCCAGACTTGGGCATGTGCATGCCTTTGGCTCGAGAAATAAAACGCCTTTGCGAAGATCTGATGGCTGTGTGTACCTCTGCGTGACGCGATAAAACGGCGCCTAAGCCTTGAACATGCTTGAGGGGAGACACATCCAAGCGCGGCTTCGGTGACAACACGAGCAGCCGAAGCGTTCCGAGCTCCGAGTCGAAGCGTTTTCCGCCTCTCGATGCTCGAAGTGCTCCTCAGAACGCGGGCCGAGGCTGGAGCCGGGAAAACCCGAAGCCGGGAGATTGCAATGGGGCCATCTCAGGGTTGGGCATCTGCGCATGCAAGCGGTGGTATGACCCCAATGCACTTGGCATAAAGCTTCTTCAGCTAGTCTTCAAAAGTTGTGGCAGCAGCTGTCAGTAGTAGCCAAAGCGGCTTCTCAGGGTTGATCAAAAGGTCCTTTACATGGAATGCCCATTTGGGAAACCATGGGGGAAGATTGATCAACCCCCGAAACGACGATTCCCCATCTGTGAAGCAAGGAGAGTCCAGGCTGCCGAAAAGTGCTTTCGGCAAAAGCTGCCCAGGCAGTTTGGTGTCTCCCCATCCAGGGCCAGGTCGCTGAAAGGATGCACTGGTTTGCTTCCCACCATGGGCAGAGTGCGGGCTTCAGGCCCCAAGAATTCCACGGAATCACCATGGTGGCTTCGGTTTTTTGGGGGAGAACGCCCCAAAAGCGTACAGTCACTTCCCAAGTTGACTGGCCAAAGAAAGTCTGAACTTTGTATTTACCACTAAAATGGTCTTTCCAAAAAGCTTAAAGTCCATCAACTCAGGAAGTGAGTACAGCCCCGGGTCGCAGGCGCTCTTTTCCCCCCTCTTTGTTCCTGTACGCCGGTAAACACAATAAGCCTAACGAGTTTCCTGTGGGCTTCCTTCTAGTCGAAAGCCGAAAAAGGGCCTCCCAAAAAAACAAGAAGAACACCCCCACATACAGTACCAACAAAAAGTGGCACCTCCATGTTTCTTTGCGGGCCAGGAAAAAGAAGTTTCCTGGCATCCCTTTCATGTTTTTGCGGGGGCTCCCAAACCATTCGTTCCGGACCTACTGTGGATGGACGAAATCCGTTCGCACCAATTTGAAACCATGGCTGAAATTGCTTAGAAAAACTTGTCGGGGAGTCATCAGAAACCAGGGTTACTGAACGGTGGTGAGCGAAGCGGATTTCGCAACCATCCACAGCAGCTCTGGACAAACCCATCAAGAACGATTCTACAAAACCAATCCCCTATTTTCCCACTCCATGTTTGTCCAGACCTACACACCGATTTGTTGCGCCTTGTTGCCCCAACAACCGCCCGTTTCACTTCTTTTCGAACCACCGACGGTTTCCTGGATTTCCGTTTCTGCCCAGACCTACACATCGAATTTTGCAGTCTCGCCGCCGTTTCCACTTCCGTTTCTTCGAACCACCGACCTCCGAAAACGTTTCCACCCAAACCGCCGGTTTCACTTCTCTTCGAACGAGCCGACGGTTTCCGGAAATCCGCTTTAAGGGTTGTTTTTTTTGGGAAATCCGCTTTGGGGGTTGGTTTTTTAGGGAAGCTTCCGATTTTTCCGGGGCGCGTTGACACCACGGCCACCGTTTCTTCGGACCGACGGTTTCCGTTTCCGTTTCCAACCCCAAAACCGCCGCCCGCCCTTCTTCTTCGAGTTCCCGACGTGCGGTTCAACGTCCCAGCGACGTTGCCGCGGCCGCCGTTTCTAACGAGCCGACGTCCGGATTTCCGATGTCCGATTTCCGATGGGCGCCGTTTCTGACGCGGCGACGTCCGGATTTCCGTTTCGGCTTCCGGGGCGCCAAGTGCTGCAGCAGCGCCAGGTGCTGCTCCGCCGCCGCGAAGCGCCGCAGCAGCGCCACCGAGCCTCCGAAACGAGCAGTCGGAGGGGTCGGTCGGAGGGGTGGGTCGAGGAGCGACGGCGCGGCCCGGGTCTTAAATGGAGACCAGAGGAAAACCCGCCATATTGATTCCTTTTGGGGGCCTTAAAAAGAAGAGGTCCAATTGAGCCACAATCAAAACCCTGACTCAGAATCTTTGTTGTTCTCGGGCAGAATCTCTATAGGTTCATTCCAGAAGTGTGGTTTCCAAAGGGAATTGGTTCATTCCCGATATGTTGATCACCATTTGTCCCAAGTGCCTTCATGGAGGGGTTGGAAGATTAGGCCGTCGGTGAGAATATGGGAAATGATTCGCTGGTTCGATAGGCAGGAGGATGTTGAAACAATATATATATATACATACATATATATTTAAAACGTGGCTGTGAAATTCAATAGGAAAAGTGGCTGGTGGACATGAAAACCCACGTGAATGATATCCAGGGTCCCTAATTACAATTCATGCCAGTGGTGTTTAACAGGCACGTGGGAAATAGCCCTGGCGATAAGAAATGGCCGACGGCCGACTTCCCTGTTGCCTGCAATGCCAAGCAGAGGTGCCAAACGCAAAGACTGCCATGTGGCTGTGGGTCAAAACCAATGGTACCATTTTGGGGCAGGTGCACCACCCATTTTAGTCTATTTTAGTGGGGATTGGGATGTTCACTGGGGGTACGATTTGGATTTTGACCCATGGCCATATGCTTGTGTAAATGGTTTCCCCCCTTCTGAAGGTTGATTCCCACGACTACGTTGCAACTTCAAGGGCGGTTCGCTTCGTTGCGAAGAGGAAAACAGGCCTTTAAAGACCTGGGTGTGTTCTTGGTCTTGCAGAAACTGGCAACTGAAACCCTCATGTTCCACTCCAATGATGCTGAGCCTTCGGGCAGTTTCCACAACTACACCATCGCCATTAGATATATATATATATATATGTATACATACAACAAAAAAGAAACATGTTCTCACGAGTTTGGGCGGGGGGGGCGACCAAGAATAGTGCAAATACATATATGCAGCAGATGTTCCTTGTTGTCTCAAAATAGGGGCACGCACAAAAAGTGGATTCCTCTTGGCTTGGCCTTCAACCCAAATAAGGAGACCCTTAGACAAGAGGCGTCTCGGGGTCTCAAGATAGGAGAACCCTGCTTGGATGGTTTCAAAGGGAAGCCAGAAGGAAACCACCTACCTGAAGAGGGGCATTCATGGATTGCCATGTCCCTCAGTGTCTCAAGATCTAAACAAACCATGCTCCACAACTTGGATGGTTTCAAAGGAACCAAAGGAGTGTCTCGTCAAGCCCAACCACACATCCCAACTGCCATCCATGGCTGATGCCTTGTTGCAAGCCAACCAACAGGAGTTCCCAGAGCACCATGTCCAGACAACAGGAGCAGCATCCTGATCCAAACAAGGGGTGAGAAAGGGCACCTAGCTGGGGGACCTAGCTTCACATCGGGGGGGGGGCTTGGAAAAAGAAAAAGAAGAAGAAAAACGACTTTGACACCTACCCAGTTTGGACCTGTGAGGAATCAACCCAACCGACCCAACTCCGTTGCTGAGAACCTTCTGCCGGCCTTCCGCGGAGGCGGCGGAAGTCTGCGGCAGGGTGGCGCCGCTCAGCGCGGAAGCGGCGGACCGGAGCTTCTCCGCGAGGGTGCAGGAGGCGCCCACGGAGAGGCGGAAGGGCCTGGAGATGTGAAGGCAGGTTTGGGGGTTGGGGGGGGAGGGGTGGTTGGGGGGGTGGGGAGTGGTTGGGGGTGGTTGGGGGTTGTTGGGGGGTTGAGGATTTTGGGGGGTGGTTGGGTGGTTGGGTGGTTGGGGGGTTGGGGGGGTTGGGGGGTTTGGGGGGTTTGGGGGGTTGGGGGGTTTGGGGGGTTGGGGGGTTTGGGAATTGGGAGTGGTTGGGGGGTTTGGGGGTGGTTGGGTTGGGGAGTTGGAGGCGCTTTTAGGTTTGAGGGTTTGGGGGTCAATTTAGGGTCTGGGTGGTGGTGAGGCGTTTCTAGGTTTGGGAGTGCTTTCCATCTGGTTGGGGGTGGTGTCCGTTTCTGGTGAAGCGTTTCAAGGTTTGGGAGTGGTTGGGGGGTGGCTGGGAAGTTGAGGGGTTGGGGGGTTGGGGGGTTGGGGGGTTGAGGCACTTCTAGGTTTGAGGGCTTGGGGGTCCATTTAGGGTTTGGGCGTTTCAAGGTTTGGGGGGGGCTTGGGGCGGGGATGGTTTGGCGGGTGGTAGCCATTAGCGGGATGGTGAGGCCCTAGAAGACGCCTCCAAGAATCCAGCTACTTCTAAGGTTGGTGGTTTAGCAGTGGTTTCCCTTTTCAGGGGAGTTAGGGCCCCGGCAGAGGCTCGTCTAAGTGAGGCTTCTCTAAGCCAAGCTAAGATGAGGGCTTTGAACATTCAGCAGTGGTTTGGACGTTCAGATCCGAGCCACCAATCCAAGCCACCAATCCAAGGGTGTGAGCTGCAGCCTGGAGGGAGCCTTCGTGGTTGAATGGGGGAGCCTTCCCCACCTCCTTCTCCACCCCGTTTGGACTCCTTGACCACGCCGCATGTGCTTGTGATCTCAACTACCCAGATGTCACCGGGGGGGGGGGGAGGGTGGGGTGGTCCTGCCATTACTGTAGTCTTCTGGGAATGAAGGCAGTCGCTGATCTGACAAATGGGTGCCACCCAAAAAATGACCTCTGTCCATTGGAAAACAAGGCCATCTTTAAACATGTGTGGGTTCATGCTAAGAGCAAAGCCTCTTCAAAAGAGGGCAATGGGGATCTGGGTTTAGACTCATCCAAACTCTGGTTCATTCTACTGGAGCTCTGCCCCTTTTTGTTGCTAGTGGCTTCCCCTCGCCGACCGCTCCAAATATGAAGAAGGGAAGTCACAACCAACGCCCTGCTTTAGAAAGGCCCTGTTGAAAACTTTAAGAGGAGTCCATCCATTCTTTACGAAATCCACTAGGGCTGGATTTCGGAACTGGGGGGGTTGAGGCTTGCCACTTTCTGTGAGCCCAGAAAATCCAAGTGACATCCTGTCATAGGGAAGCGCTTTTGAAAGGCTGATTCGAAAGTGACATTCCCCTCACAGAAAGGGGAAACCATGTACAGGAGTAAGTATGGCATTCCTTTGGAGGGCTTTTTGGGGGGCACCACTCGTAGAGTTCGGGGAAGGTTTTCCACCTACGAATCCCTCAGAACAAAATGAACACCACAAATCTTGGGCCTCCAACACCCCCGCCCTTCCAACCACCCACCCACTCCACCCGAAAAACACGCCCCACCCGGAACCTCCCCATCCACCCACCCACCCCCAAAAAAAAAACAAGTCCACCCGCCAAATGACGGGCAGAACCCCCCCCCGCAACCCCCACCCCAACCAAAAAAAAAAATCGAGTCCGCCTGTCGTGCACCGCCAAGGCCAAAGCCAGGTGCGAGGTGCGCGTCTGCGCCTTGGGCAGCGACAGCACCGAGCCCTGCGAGGCGCATCGTGGGGTCTGGGGGGCTTCAAGGGAGAGTGGGTGTTCGGACACGGGAGACATGCAGGCGGTGATCCTTTGCTTGGTGGAATTTGCGGAAATGAGGCGTCAAAAACGAGAACCGATTTACCCCAAAAAACAAAGACACAACAAAATACAGTTAAGTGAAAGATGGCACAACTCCCCCCCCAGTTTGGCTTCATCGTGCTGACTGACCGAAAGGGAAAGGGAATTGTATGATCCACGTTCATTCTGGCGCTGTCCAGCTGTCGCACAGACATTACCTGTTGCTCGCCAAGAGCCAGGCACTTCACATCGTCAGACTTCTTTGGGAGCGGATGTTGTTGCACCCCAAAACCCCCCTGATCTGCAAATTCAAGAATATACGTCCATGGGTCAAAATCCCAAAGTGGTTTTGACCCACAGCCATATGTCGAAAACCTGACTTCAGGGATTGGCGAGGAAATGCTTGCGATGGTGCTGCCCATGCTGCTTGTGATATCTTGTGATGCTGACAATGCTGGTAATGATGTTTGCTGGTAATTATGGTGATGCGGGTGATGCCCATGATGCTAATGATGAGTCTGATGATGGTGATTGTAATGATGCTGGCAATGCTGGTGATGCTAGTGATGTGTGTGATGCGTGTGATGCTGGTGATGCAAGTGATGCTGGTGATGCTTATGTTCATCCACAAGTCATGCTGGTTACGCTGGTGAGGCTTGGCGCAAATGATGCTGGTGCCAAAAATAGCTGGTGTGCTGAGGATACTGTAAAATGTTGGGGATGCTGGGCTTGATGATGATGATGATGATGATGACCACGACAACTTGCAACAATCAGACCCTTGTCATCGGACTCAGGAAATGGCAAGGGCTTCATAATATTCTGAACCCAAACAGAGTCCCACTCATTTGAGTGCCAAAGTGAGTCAGAGTCCTTGGTCCACCTTGATTAAGCCAGCCACGAATCAGCTGCTGAATGAGGTGCCTTTTGCTTGATTATGGTTGGGGTGTCCGGGGGGCAGTTGGTGTTCTCAGCTGTCTCATGTGGAATTGAAGCGCGTGGCGACAAACCTCCTATGGCTCATCATAGTTCCCTTCCCCAGGAATCCTAATCGTAGGGGTCTCTCCCTAAACGCTCTATGGCCACCGAATCTACCAACTCCCAGTAAACAAACCAATCCTTTGACCATGGCACATGTGCGTTGGTACTGCCCGTTGAGAAAATGGGCCAGGTAAACACCAGTTGGGAGAGTGACGTCAGGCTCACCTAGCGCCATGTTCACCTCGGTCACGTATCATGCAGGGTTTCTTGTTGAGACACGGCACATGCTGCAATTCAAATGTTAGAGCAACGGGCATGGACAAAACAAACACGTGCAGCTTCAGTGCGCACTCCAGGTAGTTTGTGCCGACAAACATGTCCAAATTCTGCGGCTTCTGACAGTTTCTGGTCTGGCCCCCAAAGAAACAGTGCCCAAATCGCATCCGACTCGACCCAAAGATGAGTCTGGGACAATCTTTGGAACGTAGCTTTCATTTTGGGCTTGCCAAAAGCAAGCCAACCAACGATGCCTTTCCCGTCACAGGCTTTGCCCTCAATAGTTTGGATTGGCTTCGGGATAAATGCCCTTCCTCGGGCCTTAAGCCTCCGACATTCACCAGTCTGGCCGACAGATCCAGATGGCCGTCAAATCCAGGCACTTGGAATTCGGCGCGGCGACCCGAAAAAACACATGGGCGTCCCAACAAAAAATTCGGGGCCGAAAAAACACATGGGCGTCCCAATAAAAATCGGGGCCCAAAAAACACATGAGCGTCCAAAAAAAAAATCAGGGCACTCAGAAGATGGCACGTGGCTCCCAACCAAACGAAACACAACGGTGCGCCTGGGAATCCCAGGCTTGACCCGTGTCGTCCTTCAGCACCTCCACCTAACCGGAGCTAGGGAAAAGCATGGCATGTTGAGCCAATGGGTTTGACAGAAAATGAAAGCCTCCTGTGTGCTTCCTTGAACCAAATGGTGGCTTGAAGTTTAATTGGAGGCCCTCTGGACATCATTCGGGTATAGGGATTTGTGTTCAACCACTTTGAGCTGACTCCCATATTTTGCTTGATTTTCCCATATTAGAAAAACACTCCTTCTGTGTGCGTGCGTGCGTGCGTGCGTGCGGGCGTGGGTGGGTGCGTGCGTGCGTGCGTGCGTGCGTGCGTGGGTGGGTGGGTGCGTGCGTGCGTGGGTGGGTGTGTGTGTGTGTGCGCGCGGGTGTGTGTGTGCGCGCGCGCGCGTGTGTGTGTGTGTGTGTGTGTGTGTGTGTGTGTGTGTGTGTGTGTGTGTGTGTGTGTGTGTGTGTGTGTGTGTGTTTGTGTGTGTGTGTGTGTGTGTGTGTGTGTGTGTGTGTGTGTGTGTGTGTGTGTGTGTGTGTGTGTGTGTGTGTGTGTGTGTGTGTGTGTGTGTGTGTGTGTGTGTGTGTGTGTGTGTGTGTGTGTGTGTGTGTGTGTGTGTGTGTGTGTTTGTGTGTGTTTGTTTTAGTGCTTGTGCTTGTGCTTGTGCTTGTGCTTGTGCTTGTGCTTGTGCTTGTGCTTGCGCTTGTGCTTGTGCTTGTGCTTGCGCTTGCGCTTGCGCTTGCGCTTGCGCTTGCGCTTGCGCTTGCGCTTGCGCTTGCGTGCTTGTGTGCTTGTGCTTGTGTGCTTGTGCTTGTGCTTGTGCTTGTGCTTGTGCTGGTGCTTGTGCTTGTGCTTGTGCTTGTGCTTGCGCTTGTGCTTGTGCTTGTGCTTGTGCTTGTGCTTGGGCTTGGGCTTGGGCTTGTGCTTGTGCTTGTGCTTGTGCTTGCGCTTGTGCTTGTGCTTGTGCTTGCGCTTGTGCTTGTGCTTGTGCTTGTGCTTGTGCTTGTGCTTGTGCTTGCGCTTGTGCTTGTG